CCTAGCTCCTAAATTCTCCAAGGGATATTGGGGAGTCATTTTATAGCTTATCCAAGCATGAGATCTAAGCCTCATTTATTTTCCCTAAAATAACTACTGATTATAGTTATGTTCTGTATGAGGCAGGAATGATTTTTTGTGTTTTCCCAGTATTCATCCAAGAACCTGACACAAAGGGGTAAAAAATACGGACTTCAGGGCATTCAAATCCAGCTCCCTCACCTATAGCTATGTAGTCTTAGGCAACTGATTTATCTTCCTGAATCCTCCTTTCCTCTTCTGTAAAATAAGAACTACAATCTATTCTTTATAGACTGAAATTGAAAGTTAACTAATAGAGTTCATGTAACACTCAGTGTCTGGCATACAGGAAGACCTTAACATACCATTATTGTACCTGCCATTAATAGGTTGATGACAGTTTAATGACAATGTTAGGCATTTCTTCATAGACCACTAGGTGTCGACACAGACTTGGCTAAAATAGCAGCACTAGCTTCCCTGTGTAGAAGCCCTAGGAAGTCTGGAACAAAAGGGCCTTAGAGTTGGAGAAACTGGAGATACAGTAGGCAAGGGGACTTCACAAAGTCATGAAAGATTTGAACCCACTTGTCCTGCTTCTTTAAGAAGACAAACTTAAGAATAATTGGGAGGCCCTGGGCTAGCCTGTTTTATCCATTTATAGTAATAGATAACTATGAGTGCTATGTGACTGGTGCTATTCTAAGCACTTTAAAATATGAACTCATTGAAGTCCCAGAAACAATCATATGGGGTAGATTCTAACATCCTCCTCATTTTACAAATGGGAAAAGTGAGGCACAGGGGAGTTAAGTGACTTGCTCAACAATACACAGCAAATGCAGTGTGGGATCAAAACCCTGGCATTCTGACTACTGCTTCTTTGGTCACCTTGGTAATAATGTATCTTATTACATTTGAAATATTTTTATATCACATAGCTTCTTTGGTGACTTAACAAATAACTACTGTTCCATTACAGGTTAAATTTCCTGAATCTAAGTCTTAGTAAGGAAATAATGTGGATTTTGGAAAAAAGTAATTGTTAAATGGAGAGATAATATAGGAAAGTAGGTATTGTGGTTTTACAAAACATTGTTCTATAAATAACAACCTTCTGCTGACTCTTTTTTTTTTAGCTCCAAGTTTGCCATTCAGTTCCAACTGAATTTCATGAACCTGGTTATCAGCTATATAGGAGGTTTGTGGGGCAACTGAGAAAGGGAGGAGGTTGGCCTGGCCTTTCATTCATTTATTCATTCACTCATTTGTTCATTCATTCCTTGATTCAATAGCTACTACCTCTTCCTCCCTGCCAGGCCCTGTACTGGGCTCAGAGGCCAAGAAATGACCCAAAAATGAGCCCTGCCCTCAAAGAGCTCACAGGTAGTGAGAGTTAACCAACACAGGAAGTGTGCACACACTGGCACTGCTTAATTGCTCCTCTCTCCAGACTGACGGTGTTGGTCTCATTCACTTCTCTATCATCCATGCCCAGCACAGTGCCTGGCACATTTTAGGTCTCAATAAATGTTTGCTGAATGAATGCAAAGCCTTCATAGAGGAGGCGGCATTTGATCTGGAGTTTGACAACTGGAAAGGCTCTTGCCAGGTGAAGACAGGGGAGAGGGGGACACCCCTTCAAAAGTGACAGGGTCATTTTATTTTATTGATTTCTAAAATTCAATTTACCTTGGTGGCATTGGTTAATAAAATTATATAGGTTTCAGGATACAGTTCTATAATACATCATCTGTATATTGTACTGTGCGTTTGCCATCCAAAGTCAAGTCTCCTTCTATTACCATTTATCCCCCCTTTAGCCTCTTCTACCTCCCCCCACCCCCTTTCCCTGTGGTAATCACCATACTACTGTCTGTCTATGAGTTCCGTGGGGTTTTGGGGAAGGAGGGTGTGTAATCCCTTCACCTTTTTCACCCAGCCCTGTAGCCACCCTCCCCCTTTGGACAGGGTCATTTTAAAAAGATCATCCTGGCTGCTGTATGAAGAACGATGGTTCTTGGGGATAAGGGACCAGTGAGGAGGATGGTGTAGGATCCAGGGGAGAGAGAGGATGGTGGCCTAGATCAAGGCTTTGGCAGTGGGGACAGAAAAGGGGTGAAGGGGAATTTAGAAGGGATAGACAAGACTTGGGGAGTGGGGAGCAGGAGACAGCAGGAGTCATAAGTAAGTTCAGATGGCAGGCTGGAGAGGCCTTGGCAGGAACTTGAGATCTGTTGAGCAAAATTTTAGGGCAGAAAGACCTCCCAGGTCCCTGAAGTCAGGGCCCAGCTTTGGTGTCATCTCTACCACCAGGAACTGAGCTTGTAGAGTGAAGTGGTCTTGTGGGTACAGAGAAAGGGAACCACCTGGGCATGAGCCAAACCCATGTGAGTAAGAAGTCCTACCTCGCCTTCTTCAGTTTTCTGGGGCCCCAAAGAGGAAACGGTTGGCTACTAAGGCTTTGACAATGCCCAGACCTGGCATTAAGGTTACAGGAAGGTGGAGTCCCTCCAAAATGGACCTTCTGATTCTTGCTCAGCAGCACACATCACAGGCCTTAGGTTGGCAGGACCCCTTTCTCTCTTTTATTAGATTTTATTTTTCTCAGGGGTATAACATACATAAAGTCCCCTAAGCTTACTGTAGAGCCTGATGAATTTTTGGTAATCACCAACTAGATTAAGATACAGACTTTTTCCAGCAACCCAGAAAAGTCCCTCTTGCTCTTTTCCCATCTCTACTCCCCCTCCAACCCAGATAACTACTATTCTGATTTCTATCACCATATATTAGTTTTGCATCCCCTTGAACTTTATATGAATGGAATCATACAATTTGCACTGTTTTTGTGTTTGGAGTCTTTTAGTCCACATACTGTATGTGAGATTAATCTATGGTGTCACATATGTCCAGTGGTTTGTACTTTTAGATGTAAAACATAGTATTCCATTGAATGAGCATGCCATAATTTGTTTATTAATTCCCCTGTTGATGAACATTGGACTATTTCCAATTCAAGCTATGAATAAGTCTGCTATGAACATTCTTGCACAAGTCATTTCGTATGTATACACACTCATTTCTCTTGGAATGCATCCCTAGTTGTGGAAATTCTAGGTCACAGCATAGGTGTATGTTTAGATTTAGTAGAAACTTCCAGTTTTCTAAAGTGGTTGTACCAATTCCCTCTCTCACCAGCAGTGTGCAAGAATTTCAGTTGTTCCACATCCATGCCAATACTTCTTTTTAGCCCCCTTTCTTTCTCCAAACAAGAGTTTTCATTCTCAGACGCCTCGTCTTTTCCTCGTGTTCAGTTTTGGATCCCATGCTCACCCGGTCCTCCTCCTGCCCCGCTGGTCACTGCTTCTCAGCCTCCTTTCTTGACTGCTCCTCCTCTGCCTACTATTCAATCTACCTTCCCTCCCTTGGGATCTCATCCCCGTGCCATGATGTATCACCAGTGAGCAGATGTTATTCCATATATATCTACAGTCCAGACCTCTCTTCTGAGCTCCAGTCTCATACAAAACTGCCTACTGACCCTCTCCACCTAGATGCTGCCCAGGCATTTCAAACTTACCTTCTCAAAGCCAAACTCTTGACCTTCCCCCTCATTCTGATCCTTCTTCAGGCTTCACCACTTTAGTCAAGGGCTCTTTCACTCCTTCATACTCAAGACAAAAAACTAGGTGTTACTGCCAATGCCTCAGGGCCCACCCACATCCAATCTTACATCCTTTGCTCTCTACCACCCCAGGCCAGCACCCTGAGTCACCATTACCTTGCACCTGGATGGCTGCCATTGCCTTTTAAGTGGTCTCCACACACCCACTCCCAAGTGCCTTCCATGCAGCCAGGGTGGCCTTTCAGAAACCCAAATCTGTATCATTCCCCTGATGAAAATGGCTTCTCATTGCTCCCAAGATAAAATCCAAATTCATTAGGGAACTCTACCTGCACTTCTTGCTCATCTCTAATCCTAACCCTGCTCCTTCCCACCTTCACATCTAGGACAAGTGGTTCATTCTGCCTAAAACATTTCCCCTCTCACTCTGGCCCTGTACAGCTCCTAATTGTCCTTGGTCTCTCAGCCTAAATCCCAGCTTCCCAATACCCTACATTAGGACTCCATTGATTTTTCATAACTCTTTATGCTTTCCCCCACAGCACTTTCCATGATGCATAATTATATACTGACTCGATTAAAATTATTAACAAATAGTGAGTATTTGATGACCGTCCTTCCTCTGCCTGCCCCCTGCCCCCGAGTCTCCCCCGCTCCACGGGACGGGCGCCGCCCTGAGGTTAGCACAGCGCCTACGTCACGCTCCGCTCCACCTTCCTGCCTTCAGCACTGCACTTACGCCTAGTGAGCGCTCAAGAAATGTGCTTAATTAGCTAATAATTGAATGCACTGACTCATTCGATCTCCATAACAACCCTGTGAGGTAGGCATTTCATCAGACGTGGACACGCTGAGAGCCTGAGTAAGCGAGCGGCTCGCCCAAGGTACAGGGCAAGGGGAGGAGTCAGGTCCTGACCCCACGTCGGGTCCTAAATCCTGAGTCCGGATTTTTCCGCTCCTGAGCCTCGGCCCATTGGTGAAAGGGCAGGAAGGGGCGGCCTCTGAGCCAAGAGCAGCGTTTGCCGAAGTACCCGGGTGATCCACGTGGCCTAGAGAGAGCCGCAGCGCACCTACGGGACCCAGGTACGCCCCCTCGGCTCTCGGAGGGTGGAGAGTCACAACCTGCTGCATATGCATGAGGGGGCCATGGGCCCATGATTTGGGGGCTGCCCAAAGTACGCCTGATTAAAAATTCTTCGGGCTTGGGGACTTTAGAGCCCCCATAGTTCCTCAAACATACGTAGAGAGTCTTTAAAGGGTCATTCGGGGCGGATTTTTGGGGGAGAGCGGGCGAGAGACTCCCCCAATTTAGGTCTCGTGATCAGGCGTCAGCTATAGACAGCCTAATCCCAGAAGGGGTCCTCGGCCGCTGGACTAGAAGACGAAGGGGGCGTCTCCCCTGCTTCCTGCAGCGTCCGTGGCGAGCCGAGGTGGAGGCGGGCTACGACCGCGAAGGCGACGGTGGCGGCGGTGCTATGGCATGGCTTGCAGGTACCGTGGCGTTGGCTTCCTTGGAGCGGGATGAGAGGCCCTCAATGCGTCCGCGCCGCCATGTTGCCCCTTTGGGGTCACCTTAGGCGTCTCCGGGTCCCACACTGGGGTTTTCCTTCCGCGCACCCTCGGGCCACCTTTCCGGTGTCACATGATTGCCCTGTTTGGCCCCAGCCCGGGCCTTGGGGATCCCTTCCCGGCCGAGGGCGAGTCACGGGATTCCTGGGTTCTCGTTCTGGCCTCCAAGGTCAGCGCTCGCCTGTCCGCTCCCGGGATGGGCAGGCGGCGCGGGGGCAGCGCGGGGCGGAGGGGGGAGGGGCGCGACCATCCCCTCTTCAGCTCTGGGGCCCATGGCACAGGGCCCAGCTTCTGAGAAGCCTGTCACTCTGTCGCCGCCGCTTCGGTTGCATTTTTTACATCAGAAGGGGCGTGGGGGAGAAGAGAAAAGGTCCTCTGCCTCGCTCCCCCACTTCGGTGTCTGGGGTGACAGGTCGACTCTCTGCTTTGAGTCTGGGGTACTGCTTGCAACCTCTAACTTTACATCAAGTCTGGACGCCCGTTCCTTTTCCTTCGGTATATGTGGGGAGTGGCCCTCAAGGGCAGCTGAAGGAACGGAATGCCTGGCACACTTACAGCCTGGAAAGGAGAAAGGGGGATGGGGGACAGCTGCTTTTTCCTTACCCCTTCCAAGCCTTCCTTAATTTCCTTCCAGGCTTCCGTGTCCCTTTGCAACGCTAAATGTTGGGACAGACTGGGGTCTGTCCTAGGAAAGAAATGGTCTTTCTTGTTTATAGGTTTGGATCGTGTTTTGTCCCTTTTAGGGAACTGGTGTGTTGGGGACAGCTTCTGTTTGCCCTGCCTGACATGGCCCATCCATCCCTTCAGCCTTCTGGACTGCAACACCAAAGCCAGGACCAAAAAAAGTTCCAGCTTAAGTGCTAGTGCCAAATGTTAGATCTTGTTTGTTTTAAATAAGAGACTAATTAATGTCAAGCAAATCTGTTAAAAAGATTTAGAGCCCTGGTCGGTTTACAGTGAGTGACCAGATCAATTCCATATCTGAAATTGGTCTTGTTAGAATTGCTGCCAGAAACAGTTTAACCTTTTATGTGTAATATGTTGTTTCAAAGAGGAATCTGGAAGTCTGGGTTTGGTCATCTTTTTGTCGTTGTTCTCTTATATTTGAAACTTATGCATTCCATTCAAACCTGTCACTGCACGATGTACTGAGGACCATGTGTTGCCTGCCTCTCTGACTTCCTGTTCTGGGAATGCGCAGGAATCCAGATCCTGCTGGGGTATGGGCCCTATGGGAGGGAGGAGAGGAGGGTGAACAGGATCTTTCCCAGAAAAGATGGTTATGTCTCTGGGGCATATAGAGGACGAGGTCACTAGGGAAAAAGAGACTGTTATTAATGTTTTATTTGTGTGTGTGCATGTGCTCCTGCACATTTAAATCTCGGGGGGTAAAACTAACGGCAAATTCAGACTCTCACTTTAGGTTGCTGGCTCCTGAGCAGATACAAGTTTGAAAATAGATGTCTGTCAAAGGGCTCACAGCAAACCGTCTCCCTCATCCAAACCACATGTAATAAACTGTTGCTGTTCCTCAGCTGAAGCTCAAGAAACTTATCCTCCCTGCCCCTTCCTTCAGTCACAATCCAAATACTCCACAGGTAGAGGTAACAGTGTCACATAGCACCCCTGAAAGTCATGGTACTTGAACTCCCCTGGGGCTTAACTTCAGTTGGTTAGTTTAAGAGACTAACATCCTTCTTGGGGCAATTTCACGTGTTGCTGCAGTTCTACAAAGCCATCCCAGTCCCCTCACAACTCATCTCTGTCCTTGGCTTTGTGCGTGCAAAGTCTTATGGGGGTGGTAGAGACAGTTTAGGAAAAGGAGAGGCCTGTGGACATTTAGCCCTGTGGACTAAGGGCTTTGCAATAAAACTACAGTCATTTTCAACTCCTCCCATTGCTCTCTATCAGAATAAAATGTTTAAATGGTATCACTGTTGGAAGAAAAATTATAAACAAGCTGTGTTTGGACCAGACTTCTAGGCCTCTCACTGGAATAGAAAGTGAACGCAGTCCTTCTGTCCTCTGTTGAGTTATGTTTGTTGCCAAAGCATGACAGTTTGGGAATGGGGGACAAAAGGAGGGAGTGGACGTTGCACACTCAAGCCCACCCATGTAGGTGTAGGCCACCAGGGCAACCTTTGCCTGGAAGTCTGTCATCTCACCGTGCTCTGAGCTCTGCTGATGTATGGATGGAGGAAGCTCCACAGATGGGCTTTGCCAAGAGCGTCTGGAAAGCTCTGGGGCTACCTCCTATGATGGCACAGGACACTAAGGGAGGCCTGCTGTGTCCAGAGCAGCCAGACCTTTCTATGCTGCTGCAGCCTGTCTCCCTGAACCCAGCTGCCTTAAAATTGGGCTCAGGTTAGAGCATCTGGGGTAGTGGGCACACCCCCTGAAAGCTCTGAGGGGAAGGGCAGCCTTCATTGAGAACACATGTTGAAATATGTTCATGGTTCTGGGGGTTTAGTGTGGAAAACCACAGAAACTCCATTCTTGAGGCTTGTCAAGAGATGGGCTTCTGAAGGGAGGTGTGGGTATTGCCTTCCTTTGAGGCAGGAGACGTGCCTTACCTTCAGGCTATGGTAGAAGCTGGAGCCACCCAGCCTAAGGAAGATGCTGTCTCAGATAGCACATTCCCATTCTAATCCTGTGAGTCCCGATTGCTGTTTTGATAGCAGAATGTTTCTAGTACATTAGGGTTCACTGGGATCTTAGCAGCCCTTTTACATAGGGTAACTAAAGGTGAGGGTTAAAAAGTGACCTGGCCAAGCTCCCTGGACTGATTGATGGCAAAGCCAATATCAGAACTGAAGTCTACACCCTCTACCCCCTTAATTCTCTGATGCTGAAGTTATAGGTGCCTCTAGAGGTGCTGGTGGTTGGGCTGAGAAACACCAGGGGCTTGCTTAGAGGAAGGAAATATTATTAGGCTCAAGGGGGTGAGGTGCTTTGTGCTCCAGAGTGTTTGTGACAACTGTGACTAAGGGATTTGAGGAAGTGGCAGAAAGAGATTTATTGCCCTCCAGCTCTCTCCCTTGGTGTTAACCCAGGAACAGGTGTGGTTACAGGGACACATAAAGCCACAGACAAGACTGAATAGATAGCAGGGCCAATTGGTGAGGCAGTCAGCTCACCTCATGTAAACTGAGCCCTAACTCCCTGAGGAGTGGGAGAGCGGACAGAGTCTGGAGCTGAGCAACCAGACCACCCACCCACCCTGACATGATGGCAGGGGAGAGCCCAGGGCCCAGGGACCTGGTAAGCACCCCATAGGATATGGAGGCTAATGATAGAAACAGAGAACGAAGTGAGCTGGAGAGAGGTTCCTGGGGGTGGGGGAGGATACCCAGCAGGATGCCCTTGTAGGGGTCCTGGTAGAGGTTATAGGGCCTAGAGGGATAAGCTGGGCAAGGGACGCACCACAGCACACTGCTTAACCCATACTCCTTGCCCAAACCAGTTCCCACCCTGCCCAGTATTCATTTCCTTGGGGCTCCTGGATAGAGACAGGGCTAAAGTCCTGATCACCCACCCCCACTTGGTCCCTAGTACCCCATTTTGAGGGCCATTCCCACCATTACCCTCATCCTATCTTTCCCAGTGATTACCTGCCAGGGCCCCTTATCCCTGGACCAGTGAAGGCACCCACCCCTTTGGGAGAATAAGGGTAGTAGTCCCTTATTCTGAGGCCACAAATGAAGAACTTTCCCTTTGGGGAGGGGGTATGGTCCTTTATCTCAGGACAGTGTTGGGATGAAACTGGCTATGTGAGAGTTCCAATTCCCGTTTTGTTGCCCCCCTCCCTCAAATATTGTGCCTCCTCCACAATGGGCACATCAGCTCAATCTTAGAAGTATGTGTCGCAGCCGCAATAGAAGTTACAAGAGACAACTTTTTGGTGTGCCTCCACCGCCCCGCAGGGTCCTGGGGCACTGCAAGACGGGGGAGGTACTGTTTTTTATTTTTTATAGAGGTGGTCCCTGTCCTCCAGGAGCTTACAATCTAGCTGGGGAAACACAACTAATGCACACTTACACAATCATTACAATTAGCGATTACCACAATATTCCACAATTGCGTGAGACCAGGGAAAAGATCAGTGAGGGGCTGGGGGCTCAGAGAAGGTGTTTTAGTAAAGTTGGGATTCTTTTACTGGTTGAATAGGTCCAAATTGGGTGACACATTTTTGGGGTGGGCTTGGGAGGCAGTGAGGGGGAAGGGGGAATTGAGGGAGCAAAGGCAGCAAGGCTGGAATGCATGTGCTGTAGGCCAGGGACAGTGAGAGGGCCCCACTCTGTTTCTTCACCCTCTTCCTCCTTCCCCCGCGCCCTCCAGTCCCGCCACACAGGCACGCAGTTGACTCCTTGTCTGCTGCTCAGAGATTCAGGGCTTCAGCTGGTGATGTTGGAATGTTCATTCTGCTGGCTGCTGTGGTTGTCTGGATCTCTGTGGTGGGGCCTGCTGGCATGGCCCTGGCTGTGGGTCTGGGATGTCCCTGTCCCGACTTGGTCCAGATCAGAATGCCTTATGCCCAAATCTCAGAGGTCTGCTCCCTCCATCCCCCCTCCTCCCTCTACCCCGCCCCACAGTGGGAGGGGTACAAAGGGAGTGGAAAGAGATCTGATATTGTCGTCATTGCGGTGCTGCTTCTCCGGAGGCCTGCCAGCCCCTCACTGACCTTGGCAAATGCTCCTCTGGCGAGAGAGCACAGGGGACCCCCTATTCCTGCGCGGCACTGGCTCCCATGCTGGGTGGGATGCACAGGAGCACCTGGTGACATGGCCGCCCAGGGCTGGGGGCTGGGGCCTCAGTTGGGGGCCCGGCGGCGATCTCCCAGCACCTGCCGCCCGGTCCTCGACACGGTGTACGCCAGCTTCTGCAGGGAGTACCTGAACACCTGTAGTGAGAGACCCAGGACCTGACCTTAGAGGCGGGCACCCGCAGCCGGTCTGCGGCGCTTCTGTAC